TTAAAAAAAGAAAATTCTTCTAAAAATTGTCAGTCAAATTTTATGAATCTAATAAATACTTGTAATAGTAATTTAGTTAAAAAAATCAATCATTCTTATTGAAACACATGTATTGCCTCCCACTTCCACCACAGGCCTTAATTTCCACATCAAGTTTGTCCCCATACAGGTATTACAACCTATGAAAGTAGCTTTGTTGAACTCGTCATCTAATAAAATTATCTTTAACCTCAGTTTCCCATATATTTATCGGTCCAATTTAGCACAAAGAATATATACCTTAATATATTCGAAATACAAAGCCTAGGTACTCGATCGGCATAAGCCGGCAATTTCTATTATAATTATTTTCTTTCTAAAAAAATAACATTTACTTGCAAAACCAAATCTATGAATCCTCTCCTTTAAGTACCATTTAGTCTCACCACGATCAGCACAACTGAAGTGAAGATAACCAAATCAAAGGTGAACATGTCTTGTAAAGGTAACATGCGTATACGTTAATTTATCGTTGTACTAAATTACCAATTGATGTCGCCGTTACGCATGCAAAGATTGAAAAGGTGAAAGATTATAAATAGTGTCTTAATTAAGTGTAAAAAATGGATGCAGGTAAAAGCTCGTGGCAGGAATTGATTGGCATCAATGGACAAGCAGCAACACAAATCATCATGAAAGAAAATCCAAGAGTGAAGGCCTTTACTCTTCCAGAAGGATCAGTGGTGACAGCTGATTTCAGGTGTGACAGGGTTCGAGTCTTTATTGACTATAAGGAAAATGTGACTCGGGTGCCCAAAATTGGTTAACTGAATCAAGAGTCGTTCAAGTTTGACATGGTTTACTTTTAATGTTTGTGTTTGGATTCTGAAAATGTGATAGCTAATCAAAATAAAAATGTTTAATAAGTAGCTCCACTTTGTGCCTCTTCTATTGTGTTGAGCATGTGTTTAACTTAAGTATTGTTTGATTGATAATGGATTTACAATCGCTTGAATTTGAATTTTAGTGTAATTATTTGTTGTCTTATAGGTTTAATGATAATGCAATGTCAGGAAAAAAATTTACAACATCATCAAATCATAAATCATTGTTCATACAACTTTTAAGATATTTATTATAAAAGTTAACAAATTTAAATAAATAGTAATTTACAATTAGATGACAATGTAAAATTATTTTACACTATCAACACATTCCCATTAAACCTTAATTATTTGTTATCTTATTCTACATTAAAAATGAGAATTACAAAGTTTGCATATATCTTTTTTAAAATAAAAAAGATAGAACGCATGTTCAATCAATTTATATCTATATAACAACGACAATATATAATTTTTTTACTCATTTGTCGATTTTGTAGCGCCTTCATTAATCTCATAGGAAATATCCAATTATTTTATGTTACACAAATTTTACCATTAAAGCATAAATTTGCAAGAAAACATAATTCATCATTGTTGTTTAACCATTCTATTGTCATCATTATTGTTGTTTAACCATTAAAGCATAACACTTCTCTCACCACTATCATCATTGTTGTTTAACCATTCTATTGTTATCATCATTATTATCACAATTAATATTGTCATTAATACAAGCATTACTACTGCTGCCAAAAACATCATTATCACAATTGTCAACACTATTGTAAAACAACAATTACCGTCATCGTTGTCATTATTACTATCATTATAATCACTATCACCACTACCATCATTATAATAACTATCATCATTATCATTACTTCCACCTTGGAGGTGGGTTACACGCCAAGAAAAAATTATAAGTACTACTCCCTCCGTTTTTTATTCATAGTTATTTTGTCAGAATTTGTCGTTTTTTTTCATTGTTATTTTACTAAAATCAATGACATTAATTTTTTTTTCTCATTTTTACCCTTGATAATTAATGTATGTTTATTGAACAATGTGCCTATTTATTTCTAATGTCTACTTATTTTTTCTCCAACTACTTATGTAAAGTTAATGTTACATTTAAAAAGGCAATATGTTTCCAACGAACTACTATAAAAAAAATAGAAGGTAGAATAGGAAAGTAAGTAATAAATATTTTTGAAAACTAAAATATCAATCATTTCCTTAAGTCTCGTGCAAAACCTTAAACGACTATGAATAAAAAACGGAAGAAGTATTTCTTAAGAGTTAATCATCCTTATACTGCCAGTGTAAAATTTTTTACACTGACAACCAATCATATCTTTTTAAAGTTGCTTATTTTATTATTATTTCATTAAATAAGTAATTGATATGTAAATATTAAAAGATATGATTGGTTGCCAGTGTAAAAAAACTTTACACTGACAGTGTATAAGTGATTAACTCATTTCTTAAACACATTTGACATCTTTCAAAATTTTCAATCCCAAAACACGTTTACAATCTTTCAGTTCCGGTATACCGGAACCTTTTCAAAGGCATATATTTCTGTTGTGTACACTTTTCAATCAATATTTCTCTTTCAAGAATGGTAACAAAATTGATTGAATTTGACTCCTTTGAAATTTATTACTTTCTCAGTTGCTCAAGCATTAACACTTGATTCCGAGAAGAAAATAGAGAGAAAAACACAAGAGAAAATGATAAGAAAGAGAATAATTTTTTATATTGTTTGGTACTAGAAAAAAGGGAAGAAACAAGAAAGTAATGCAAGAGAATGTTGAGTTCTGTAGAAAAGTGAAAAGAAAAAAAATATGTAAAACATGTTAGGTTGTAACTTGTGAAACACTGGACATTTCAGTTCACTAATAAGATTGTTTAATCACAATAAAAGTGTTTTAGTTTATTACTTACTAGTATTTTTCAATTTTTATCCCCAATGTTTTAATAAAACTCTGTCTATATTCTCTCTTAATTTAGGAAAGAAGCCATAATTATTATACTATTTTTTTGAAATTTTTTAAAACTACATTGTTTTTGTATACAAAATAAAAACAATTTATATAAAGATTATATTAACATGTTCTTTTATGTTATTTAATATGAGTTAATCACTTATACACTGTCAGTGTAAAGTTTTTTTACACTGGCAACCAATTATATCTTTTAATTGTGTCATGTCGCTATAAACACATTTACTTTTAATAGTGACATGACACAATTAAAATATATAATTGATTGTCAGTGTAAAAAAACTTTACACTGGCAGTGTATAGGTGATTAACTCATTTAATATATCATCTATTTCTGAATTATTATATTCACATTCAATGTAATTTATTTTTAATATTTTGAATTACTAGGATTGACCTAGTCAAGGGTGGAGGGAGGGGTAGACCTGGATGGACCATGGTCCCCCCATTAATTCAAAATGTATTAAAATTACTTTTAAAAAAAATTGTCCCCCCTCCTAAAACTTAATAAAAAAAATAGGCTAAAACCCTATTTTAGTCCCTTATAATTTTTTTTTGTTTCAATTTAGTCCCTCATTAATTTTTGGTCTCAATTTGGTCTCAAACTAATTAATTGGTTTCAATTTAGTCCTAAATTAATTAATTGGTTTCAATGTGGGACTTTCCGTCCAAATTGCTTTAACGGTGTTAACTTTTGGCCACGTGGACGCCACGTAAATGCATACGTGACATCCACGTGGATGAGAATTTTTTTGAAAACACCTGGACCCAGAACGGCCCGTTCTGAAACCGGAACGGGCC